AGGCTGAGGGCTGTTTTCAGGCTGGCGGGTGACGGAAGCTCCCAACCCCTCCTTTTTTTCTTTTTTTTTTTTTTTTTTTTTTTTTTTTTATTCTGGGGCAGCTTTAGCTCTGAGGCCTCGGCTGCTGAAAATAGGTTTCTGGCCTTTGTTTACCGTCTGGATTTGATACAATGTTGCGGTCCAGCTGGCTGAAGCTCTGCTGAGTAAAGCAGGTTTCTGGGGTTTTTTTAGCTTCTTTATTCGCAACATAGTTACTTAGAGTTGCAGCTGAGAGGCCGGCAAGTCAGGCAGGGAACGTTGGAGTCCTCCATCACTGAAGCAAGCAAGCCTCATGTTAGTTTCAAGCTGCCTGCTGCCGGCCACCATCTTGGCTGCCAGTTAATTTGCATATCTTGCTGATTAGCCAATGGGAAGGGTAGCGGTCGTATGCTAATTACCATGTTTCTCTTTTATTAGTGTAGATTTGTAGAAAAGAAGCAAGAGCCATATTTTATTACTATCTATGACAATGTGAAAAGTGCAGGCTACTATGTTACATATAGTATCAGCAAATGAATGTTTTTGTACAGACTGACCACAAAACTCTATTAAACTTGCTTTCCAACAATACCAGTAGCTGAAGAGCAACATATGCTATGAGAGTCTTTTAAAGTGGCTTCTAATCTCCAAGTCTAGAACATGGGGAAATTAAAGTAAATGTGCAGAATTTTATTAAGTTAAAATGCACCTGCCAAAACCGGTTTGGCTCAGTGGATAGAGCGTCGGCCTGCGGACTGAAGAGTCCCAGGTTCGATTCCGGTCAAGGGCATGTACCTGGGTTGCGGGCACATCCCCAGTGGGAGGTGTGCAGGAGGCAGCTGATCGATGTCTCTCTCTCATCGATGTTTCTAACTCTCTATCTCTCTCCCTTCCTCTCTGTAAAAAATCAATAAAATATATTTAAAAAAAATAAAATGCACCTGGAACAGGAGGTATCAGAAAACTTATTATTCACATATATATATGGTCTTAAGGATCTTGTTGCAAAACATTTAGTAACTTATTTGAAGGTTTCTTTTAAAAAAATCTAAAAGACCTTAGGCATAGGCCTCTGCTCACACAATCTTTTTTAAAAAATATATATTTTATTGATTTTTCACTGAGAGGAAGGGAGAGGGAAAGATAATTAGAAACATCAATGAGAGAGGAACATTGATCAGCTGCCTCCTGCACACCACATACTGGGAATGTGCCCGCAAGCCAGGTACATGCCCTTGGCTGGAATCGAACCTGGGACCTTTCAGTCCACAGGCCAATGCTCTATCCACTGAGCCAAACTGGTTAGGGCCTCACACAATCTTGTGAAGTGATTTTAGATATATCAAACTTAGACCCCAGGTTTCCTGTAAATGCAAAAGCAAGCTCTTGGGTGAACAAAAATTGCCTTGCTTTGTGAAATGCTGAAATGATTAAATTGAAATTGTAATCCTGTCCCTCACAAAATGTCAAGTAAAAGAGTACTTTGCAGCACAAACCTTGAGAAATGATAAACGTGAAAATGCTGTGAGCAGTTCCCCTGTGTGGGTCATGGCATTACCATGCCACTGGACAGTGGCATTAGCACAGACAGGGTATAAATGCTAAGCAGGAAAATTGGCAGAGTTCTTGAAACTCCTGAGATTTTTAGGCAAGATAAGAGAGTGGGATAGAGATGATGCAAATCTGTCACCATGTCTTGACAAATTTTATTACAACTTGACATAAAGATTGATTGACAATGACAGATGATTACTAGAATCAGTGGGGTGATCACATTATGATATATAAAAATGTTGAATCACAATGTGTACACCTGAAACTAATATAACTAATATAATATTGCATACCAACTATAATTAAAATAAAAAACTTTATAAGCCAAATAAAAAAAGGCAAATCTTAGAAAAAAAACTAATCTGTAAATCCTATGCTCTGATTTTTATTATTCACTTAGTAGAGTTTGTTGAAAAAGTGAATTTTTTAAAATTTCAAATAGGAACCTTTGAATGAAAAGGAGGTAGAGAAGACACAACTGATTTCTGTATGCACTGAGGTAACAGTTAATGTTTTAATCAAGATGCAGATTAAGTGGTAGATATAAAAACCTTACTTTTCTGGGGGCTAAACAGGGGTTTCAGAAGGTTGTGTATTCATTTTGAGCAAACAGATGCAAACAAAGGAAATACCAGTTGACAGAGTGGTATCGCCAGATTGCTAAGTGATCTGCATTAAGTACGATAATCCTTTTTTGTAACTTTAGATTTCTGCTTTTGTAGTTCATATCCAGTATGCTCCTGGTATCTTTCATAGTTTCAGATACAGTAAAATAAAGTAAGCTTTTGGGACTTCCTTTTGAATCTAATTAGGTGCAAATTATTGTATCTAGAGATAAGATAAAACAGCCCCTGACTTTTTTTTCAAAATTTTATTGTGATAAACATCTACACTAATAAAAGGGAAAGATGCAAATTGACTGTACCTTCGTGATGCCCACTAGCCAATCAGGACTATGCAAATTAACCCAACAAAGATGGCGGGTTAATTTGCATACGCAGGTGCTGAGTGGCCGGGGGTGGGGCAGGACGCTTGCATCACCATGGCGATGATGCAGGCGTTCTGGACCACCCCAGCCACTCAGGGCCTCTGGGCAGCATGGGAAGGCGGAAAGGAGGCTCCGGCCAGAGCCAAGGCGGTGCTGGCAGCCAGGGGAAGGAAGGCCCATTCTTGCATGAATCTTCGCGCATCAGGTCTCTAGTATATAATATGAAATTTATCATCTTAATCATTTTAAGTTCAGTTATACTAACTTTTTTAAAAAAATTAAAATATATTTTATTGATTTTTTACAGAGAGGAAGGGAGAGGAATAGAGAGTTAGAAACATCAATGAGAGAGAAAAACATTGGTCAGCTGTCTCCTGCACATCAACTGGGGATGTGCCTGCAACCAAGGTACATGCCCTCGACCAGAATCGAACCCGGGACCTTTTAATCCACAGGCCGACACTCTATCCACTGAGCCAAACTGGTTAGGGCCAGTTATACTAATTAATATTGTGCAGCCATCTCCACCATCCATCTCTAGAACTCTACATCTGGCGAAACTGAAATTCTATCCCCATCAAATAACACCTCTCCATTCTCTCCTCTCCCTAGGCCTTTACTCAAATAAAAAGAATTCTAAATGTTTTTCTTTAAAATTGATTGATATTGGTTATTCATGAAGCTAAAAGACTTATCCAGCTTCTGAGGCAATGGGATTTATTTTTCATGGTAATGTGGACATTGCAGCCTTCCATTGTCCTTGGCACAGAAACTTACCAGTAGGAGGAATAAGGGAGGTGGGGCAAATGAAGAAGCACTTGCAGTAACATTGCCTATTTCTTATAGTTAAGAATCCATTTTAATTATATAGGCAGGATTGAAATGCATGTCATCCTTAATGAGAAGCAGCTTTGGGCACCTTTTCTTCATGTATTAAAAGGAAAAAAAGACCTTTGATTTTTGTACCCTGT